GTCTCACAGCGTCACAGCCGTATAATTTGAGCGTTTGGCCGAATGAATCTTTATCACAATATTAGAATTTTAACAGACGGAGTTAGAACAAGTGATATCAATTCAACGCTGAAGCACTGTTCAGTGGCTTGGTATACAACAGAATTAAGAACTATTCCTACTTCTCCAATAAACTGGACTACTACTGAATATCAGCAAAGTGAAAGTATTACGAAGAACTGATAAATTCTGATTTTTTTTTTCCATTGACTTTCAATGGACACTTAATTGCAGGTGTAAACTTGCTTAGAGACTAAACCTTTATCTACACATTGTAATATAATATAATTATCTTTATTTTAAATGTTTGGCATCTAAATAAGAGTTACTAGGATTAATTTGTTTGTACAAATAAAACGTAACTGTTCAATTGTTCAGAACACCATGTAACACAAAGTCTAGTAAAAGTAAAACTCTGAAAAATTAATTATGTAAATATAGAGTTGTTTCTCATTAAATTATCATTGATCGATTTGTTGTAAAAATTAACAATATTCATAATTAAAAATTCAAACTTCATTATTGTTACTACGGTTATTGATTTACTTAAATAACATTCAGTTAAGTTTACACTAGTTGGGATGTGTCTACATGTTGTGTTTCACATTGAACTACCCCTAGCATTTATTATATCCTTTGAGCATGTGTAGGAAATTTAAGATGTTTATATCTCTTGACATTTGTGAATTTCAAATGAAATTTGTATTTTTAAGGAGTCACAACTAACTACCCTGAAGCAGCTTCAAAGAGTTTTAGAAATAAGTGATATAATTTGTATAGTTTACCCTGCTGTCTTAAGCATACCTCCATCCTATGCATATATAAATGTTTCTGCTCAGTATAGCAGTAAAATGATAAGTAAGTAAAGGTAACCACCTGTAGAACAAAATCGAATGCTTGATTTCTTCAACAAATATTTAAGATTGTTATATGAATTCAGCTAACGCTAAAATACTGGAGTAACGTGATTCTTCACCATCATTCCTCAAATAACAGAAAAGCTAGTGTACGGTGTAAACACCTAGAAATATAGCTGTTTTTAAAATACTTCTTATATCAATACAAACTAGAAGGGAGTAAATTGATATCATTGATACAAATGGTAAGTGTTGCTGGCTGATTTGGGAACTCGGTTTCCGACAAATAAGTAATGATTATAAAACTGTTCCACTTGAGAAAATTCAAAGTACACGACACGACAAAATAGGTTTGGCCTGTTACATAAATATGCACATGGTTTCTTATTTCTTACTAAATACAAGAATTAGGAGATTATATGTTGCTTGAATTACAGTAGAGTATACTAAACAAGTGACAGTTCCTCGACTTCTAGAATTCAAACTCTTAGATAAGTTTAATTCTATTAGTCACATCGTTCATCTAACTTATGCTGAGACGAGTAGACTGACCAAAATGTTCTTGACTATCTCGGCCAAATTTAATAAAGGAGCTAAATGTTTTTAATGGCCAACGACAAAAAGTATGCGAGGACGGCGGCTTCATTATTTCGAGGGAATTTTCACAGAAGCTTAAGACAAATTATTAGCTGTCTTTCAACTCAAGCATAACAATGTACGTGGGATTCGAATAATATATAATTACACGGCGCTTAAAGACAACTAAATCATCTTATCATTTTTATCAATAATATGAAATCATATGCGTAGCAGAATGGAGTTTATAGTAAAATCTGATTAAACTTTAATTCGTTTATTAGACATATCATGCATTATATTATTCATCTTACTTAGTGTTTGGCAAGGTAACCACAACTTTGAGACTGGAGTAATTTAATTCCGATTACCATTGTTGTTTCGAAATAAAGTGAGCAGAATTATTTAGAGATTTGAAACATTCCTCTTGCACGTGTTTAATGTTAATTCGAAACATGAAGCCTCGCCTCAGTTATCAATCTCCAATCGGTTCTATCCGATTGTATCACATCTTTGTGTGAAGAAAGTATCCGTCAACATACTTGATTTTCCTTCTAAATCTCGTATCGTACTATTAACTATTACGCCACATTTTCTTATTTTTTTATGCTCTGTTTAGCTAGACATACTCATTCATTTGACTTCGTAATCATTGCATGCAATTCGCTAGAACGAATTATTCTGCTCAACAAGTAAAATCCTCTACTCGAAGAGGCTTATTTCTAATTAAGCGGATTTCTTTGGAAGCTTGTATGTTCCTGTTGTCCACGGTTGTCAGGGAACAGTGTTTTTTTCCTTATATTAAAGGACTATGGAAGTTAAGTGCAATTTTTTTAATATTATACACTCAAGAAATGCCGGTCCAAAACCAATGTAAGAGTCAAATTTGGTTGTGTGTATAATAGAATCCTCTGTTAGAAAAGTTTATTTGATACCTTATCAATATCTGGATGATATTTCGAGCCCAATTTACTGCTCACAGCTCAGTGATGTGATTATGAACAATCAGTTGTGTTCGAAACATAAAGTTACTAATACTATATTACTGAGCTATATCAAATAGACTTGTCTAGAATAAGAAAAAGGCTTTATCAATAACGCATTGAAACATAAGTAAAAAGATAATTAAAGGTGCATTAATTACATCCTGGTACGTGGTATTATCAGGTTAGAGATAATTTGAGATACATTAGATAAAAACAGCGGCCTATATTTTTCGTGATATTTGCAGTTATGCAATTAAAGTGAACTTTAGATGACATCACCTTCGAATTAGTCACCACATCGGGTCTCTTTCAGTTTCTTTAAATTAAAAATAAATCAGGTATTCATATGAAATTCAGATGAAGTAAAGACTGACCACTGGGTTTCAATGCATCAATTTATTTAAATGCAAGTTAGGGCAAAAACGGAAAAAATTCAAATTTTTTTTACTGAAGCTTGTCTACCAGTAATAGTTACACCACAATAATTCTATGTCGGAGAATCAACAATGTTTATTCAAAATGTTTTTCGTCTTACTTTACATATCTATGATAATAAGTAAACGCAATTTTTTTAGAAATGAAATTGGCAAATTAAAATTATACTGATTACAATTGACTGACTTATCGACACAGGACTTTGCACAGAAGTGCATCAGTTTAAGTTGCAGAATCTCGAGGCACATAAAATAAGGAATAAATAGATATGAATATGGAAGAGAAATTAAGTGGAGACAAGTGAAATTCAGTATTCGGAGAAGAATAATCACTGACTACACCAGTACCACTGTGTAAGATTTTAGGCAATATCACGGGAAAAGAAAAGACGTACCATATCCTCACTATATTCTGATAAACTCTTTAATACAAATATTTTTTCGTTCATTCATTACGTATTTGAAATGTGAAGCTATTAGAGAAGTTCGTGTATTTAATTGTATACAGCTGGAATTGTATAGCTGTAGTAAAAGAAATCACTGAAAAGATCCTCTTTGACGAATCACGAGTTTTCTTTGCTCAGCATGTCTTAATAGGGATTTTCCACGAAGAATATCGCGATATAAACAGCTACTGATTCTTAAAATCTCGAGTCAACAGATAATCTTTAACGTAGTTCTGCTTCATTTAGCATAGTTGCCTGGTAGAGTAGTGGTTCGGTTAGATGTGTAGCACACCCACTTATATCACTTTGTAACAATGCACTGTCGACTGACGGTACAATATATTCTGCTAGGTCCTTCAAATACATTAAAATGTGCCTAGATTCGAATTTACTCATAACTTTGCGTTTGAATGATGTAGCAACAAATATCGTACAGTTAGAATTCACTCATAAACTAGTTTGCCTTAGTTAAAACTACGTTTAAACTTAACACACTACTTACCAGACTATTCGGTGGCTTAAAGCATAAATCTGATATGGATGGACATATACAACCTGAAATGACCCATGAAAAAGCTAGAGTCAAATCTTAAATATTCGAATTTCGGAAATGGAACTTTACACAGCCTTCGTATCACCCGGGGTTAATGTGGAAGGTGACGATGAAGCTAGGTGTGGAATGATAGACAAGGGGGTAAAGACAACCAATGACATCGCGAATCTCAACTGATTTAGATGACTGGGAAAAGTGAAGCATGGTGAGTCACCTTCGAGGAGCGATGTTAATTGATTAATTACCAAGTTATGAAAGTTTTAGTTATTAGTTAGACAAAAACATGACACCGATCTGAGAAGTCCTTGACTGCTGGTTTGAGTCACATTTGGAGATGGCTGATGATATGGCTAAAAATAGCTAAAAGCGACGCGGATGCATTCACCCCCTGTTAACATCTGTAAATCTTCACCAAATTACACTCAACTATTTTCTTTTCATTACATTTTAGTTAACTGTAGTATCACTTTTTTTCTTTATTTTTATGTGCTTGTTAGAAGTGGGGTAGCTTACTCTGATACACTTTGTGAAAAGTTTCACTTTGATAAATCAACCCGTTTAACGACCTCAAACTCTGCTAAAACATTCACTCAAAGTTTTTGAGCATACATAACGCCACATTTTTAGAAAACAGTGACAAGAAAGTGTGTGGTAGCACCTTTATAGATTATCAATCTTCATTTCAGTAATGGTCAATTATACTGGTTCCACATGAAATAAGTTCATAAGTATATATATATATATATATATATATATATATATATATATCAATAGTTCATGTGATGCATGAAGTTCAAACAGTGTTCGCATTTTAGAAACCCTTTTATACTGAATTCAGTTTGATTATGCTCCAGTAAGTCAACTAATGAATCGTTTAGTGTATTTATATTTTGACGTGAAGCACCGGTCAACAATAGCATTTCTGCTGAGTTTACTTAGGATACAGTAAGATCCATCACAAAATATTTTTGTACAGTAATCTGGATACAGTCTTCTATCTATTGTATGTGACTCTAATCATCTATTGTGACAAAATTTGTGACCTTGTGTAATACAATTAAAAACACAAAATAAAAATAAAAGCAGAATAAAAATGAAAACATTCTTACCATCGAATTGGTTATACACACTCTTATTGGCATCCGTCAAGCCAGTACTTAAAATTGTTGCCAGGACAAAATGAAATAAGTATCCGAACATTTTTTGTGGTACGGTATTCTTGGGTGGTACACAGTGAGAACTTTGACCAACCAAAAAGTAGGCAGTTGAGTGACTCATAATTCTATGATGTTGAACCAAAACAATAGGCACCGACAAGGTAGGTGTTTGTTGCTGTTGTTAGACAAACACTTACATTGGACAAGTGAAATTAGTGAGCACTAAAATAACGAGATTTGAAAGACGTGATGTCCCTGCCAACGAAGATGCCTGTTTGTGAATAACGAAAAGATTCATTCGGCAATAAATGAAATCTATCATAAAAGCTAGTTACAACAACCGATCTCAAAAGAACATTTGTTGAGGCTACAACAGCTTCAATAGTATTCATAACGAGAACAAAAAATAACCTTGAAAAAGCAGCTAGGAAAAAATTAGAAGAGGTGAAAGAAAGCTAATTATAAAGAATGTGTCGTTTTTACTGATTTAGACTATCAAGTCTATTTATCCACTTGCTCTAAGACTTTTTCCACTGCTTTTGGATCTGTGGTACACCTTCCTTGACTTTAATTGACCACTAGCAGATGTAAACGAAATACAATAATCTCCGTAGACAAATTCGGTAGTCTATACACGACCAACAGCTACCTTACACTAAACATATGAACTTGACAACATCCATTAACATATGACACTGAATATTTGGGAATTCAATACCTTTTACAAATCAAATCGATGTTTATGGTGTTTGGCAACGATTACTATAGTGTACATTTAAACAAGTAACGGTGACTGATTAGAACTAACATGGTGTACAGATGTAGTTCCCAATTTCATCACTGGTGCTGCAGGTTCACAATAAACAGCAATACATGCAACAGAAATATGGCACATTACACTAAGTAACCTTAGTGAAATTATTTATATACATTTTAAAATAGTAACACTTAGTCAAGCTGTCTGAAGCAGTTGAGCATGCTACCACTTGAAAAAGAAAAAATGTAATTAAGCAATTCTCCACAATGAGATCGGTTTACTATCCATCAAAAATAACTATGACTACCTGGGATAAGCGCGGAACTTCATAACAATGTTACTGCGTGTGAAAGCAGGGTATATATATTGTCTTTAAAACAAGTATTATTCTGGGAGGCAATGCGTGCAGCTGATATTAAACACGGTATGGTAATCCTTAAATTTATCGGTCATTCACATTCAAAACCATCTCCAACAATACTACACATATTCCTAGTGTTCTGGTCACATGCATTCTTGTTTCTAACAGTAAATCCACTGCATCATTTCACATGTATTCCTCAAAATAGAAACATAATAAAAATAATTTTCAACAGAAGGAGATGAAAAATGACTTTAATAAACAGATGAATACAGCTAGACAATGATAATATGCTCACTGCCAAAGACACAATATGTTATTAAACCAGTAACTTAAAACACAAAAAACTGTTGATAACATTGTTAAACGCCTAGCTCTCCATAGCAAGATAATTTTCAAACTCAATATCAATATTAATCGGTATATCCCGAAAAAACCAGAATAACCAAGATCACATATGAGGTTAACCTAGTTATTTCCTTTAAGTATCATCCAAGTAAACATTAAAAATTTCAAATTCTTCAAATTAAATAGGAATGAAGCCTTAGGGAACGAAAACAATATTTTAACATGGGTGAACAAGCAGGAAACATACAGAAAATATAACAGACAAAAACCGACCTTAGCCCAAGGTCACAATTTCAACTTATGCATGAGAGAAATGAGAGTTCTTTTCTCGATAGATTAAATATTAAAACAACGATGAAGCCTCATCAAATAAATCACATAGACAATAAGATCACCGGCAGAATAGGTAACATTTTCAAGGATATAGCCATATTAACATACACAAACAATTTCACATCCAGGTTAAGACATTACAAATAGATCCAGTAATAATAAATCGAACAGAAAAAGTGAAGTAAGACTGTGAGGCTAATAGCCCGACCCCGGAAAATCCACACACTCCCTACAGAAACTTCAAAGAACAAAAAATATCCCAAAAACCTTTACTTATTCTACACCCCAATAAGACAAACGGAATGGTGTGGACTGGTGAAAGCCTTAAGAAAGCCAGTCAGTCTATGTGTCACCTGCTGATGAAAGCAAAAATTTTCATTAGGATCCCGCATATAAGCACGTCATTCGAAGCCACAAAGGCTGCTCAGCTTGCCGAAGAAGTGAGGAGATATGGCATCGGAGTGCCAGGAATCTGTGAGAGCAGGTGGAATGGATGTGGGTATTCCAAATTGTCAACTGGAGAGTCAAAAATCTACTCCGGTCGTCCAGATGACAATCACAAGCACTCAAAACGAGTGACTATTATTGTGTCACCAACGATGTTGAAGGCTCTTATGCAGTGGTAATCAATCTCTTTCAGGATAATAACGGTAAGATTCAACTCAAAAGGAAGGACAGTCACAATCATCCAGTGCTACCAGGCAACAAACAACGCAGTACAAACGAAGAAGGAAGAATCCTAATGGCAACCGCAAACTGTAGGTTGGTAACGTCCGAAATGGCGACATCACATTCCTAATGATCGCTATGAATACTAAACTGGGAGCGAACAGCATAGGACGTCAACTGATAATGACTCCAAGAACTCTGTGACATAAACGAGAACGCCGAAATTTTCACAGACTTCTGAGCCTTCAGTGCCTTAGTGACCAGAGGCCCATACAACTATAGGTATATACTCAAGGCTAGGTACATGAACTTCACCTGACAGACAAACCCAAAACCACAAAGACTTCATTTTGATCTCAAGAAGGTGGTGACACAGTCTGCAGGACACAAAATCGAGGAGAGGAATTCATTTGAGCTCAGACCCTTGTCTAATTCAGGGAACCTTCATGGTCAAGCTGAAAGCCTTGACAAGGATAGCTGGAGATAGAATAGACCAGAAGAGAGAGTGATGGTGAAACAGAAGACGGACCGATGCAAAGATTGACAACAAAAGCAGAAGCTGAGTTCAGTGCACAATGCACTGCACAGCGAAATTTAGAACAGTGAGCAGAGAGACGAAAGACAATTCCACGACGCACTGTCAACTCAAGGAGAACTGGCCGAAGAGAAGAATACCTCACAACATCATACCAGATAGTCAGGTCACTCTTGCGGAATATATCAGAACAGATGAAACCAGTGAAAGATAGGGAAGGGAATCTAATTACCCAAGAGGAGGAAAACAGGAAACAATGGGCTTAGTACTTCGAAGGACTCGTGAACACACCAACATCTGCATCTCGTAGAGAAATACCAACACCACCATCTACAAAATCCTCAACACAGCAATTAAGCTACCGGAGTCCAGCAGGAAATGCAGCAGGACCAGACCGAATACCCTCAAAAGCATTGAAAACGTATCCTGAAACTGTAGTGGATGTAGTCACACCACTATTGCAAAACGACTGGATGGAAGTAAAGTTACCTGCTGTTTCGAACAAAGGCTACCTTGCCAAACTACCAGAGAAAAGCCAACTAGGCCTCTGCAAAACTGTCTCAGAATCAGGCTGTTGTCAATGCAAAGCAAGATACTAATTTGTGTCATCTTGGAGAAAATAAAGGATGCTACGGATGCAGAACTCCACCAACCAACGACAAGCCGGATTCAGGAAAAGCAAATCACATGCTGTTCAAATCGCAACAATACGAATCACAATCGAACTGAGCATACAATCCGAATCAAATCTCTACGTCAACTTCATCGAATTTGAAAAGGTACTCGACAGCATCGACCGTGAATTATTGATGTGTGAACTGCCCAAATACTAAGCATCGCCTCCAAAATTTATCGACCGCATTCAACAACTATGTGACAATGCCACACGTCAAATGACCAACGACAAGAAACTCAGTGAAGAATTCTAAGTGCAGAAAAGAGCTAGAGGAGGTTAGCTGTTCATTCTCACTAATGATATTTGTAATTGCGGTGGACCGGATTATGCAGAACACTGTCCGTGGCGAACGACAAGTCAGGAATACGTTACACCGATAAGAAGGCTGTAGGAGTCCTGGATTTCTAGTACGCAGGACGGCCCTCATTGTGGGACGGGTTATCTGTGGATGAACATCGGGAGGTGCGGAAATATATCATTCAAACGGCGAAGTTGGTTGCCATCATTTTAGTCACAACACAGCCATTTAAATTAATCATATCTGTAGAGGAGTACGCAATGTATTCTGCAAGCAGGGTGGAATGCTTAGTGTACGTGATGAGTATCTTAGAGTCCAACTGACTACGACGCATACCCGGAACTCAGGAACAGATGCAACGTGAGAGTTAGGTGTGAAAAGAGGTCATTTCTGTATAAACTCCTGGCGGACCCCAAAAGCTTGTCGATTTATGTCGGAAAGAGAACCAACCAACCGGGTCCAGACAGTTAATACCTCACTAGTCTGGAAATGGCTGAAACATTCAGGCATTACTGGAGCGGACCAAATAGGAGGCACTACCAATTGGGAGAAAATCTTGTGGCTTCTCCCCTAAATAAACCCGGCAATAGTACTAGGGGAGCTACAGAGACTCACGTCTGGAAAGTCTCTAGGTTGTGACGACATCAGTTCATCTGTTCTGAGACAGTGCACCGTAGCTGTCTGTAGGCCTTTGTGCGACCTGTTCCAACAGTGGGTTGGTTTGGGGAAACTGCCAAGGGAGTGGAAAAAAGCCATCCTTTCTCCGATCTTCAAGGATGAGGATAGGCGAAGTGCAACTATTAATAGGCCAATATCCCTACCCCATTGGTATCAAACGTACTGAAAATTATTATTGATGATCACACCAGGGATGATCTCGACAGGACTAATAGACTCCATGAAGGCATATTCTGTGTTGCAAACCTACCATCAGCTCGGGACGATTGAGCATCGTTCTGGGATCCGAATGTTCCAGTCCATGTGGTCTTTCGAGACTTCAAGAAGGCATTTGACACAGTCCACCATGACCTCCTACACAAAATAAGTCAGTTAGGTATAGGTAAGCCACTGCTATCATGGTCGAAGGACTGCCTAGCTGCACCAAGGTCAAATGAGTCCTATCATCTTGGCGCGGCTCGTCATCAGGAGTGTCGCAGAGCTCTATCCTAGGGCCACTGGTGTTTGTGATATTTGTCAGTGACCTACCATACAGTCTAAGTTGCCCGACTCTCCTCTAAGATGATGACGTAAAGGTGTGGAGGGCAGTAAAATGTTCGAAAGACTCAGATAGGCTTCAGGCAGATCTAAAGCTTCGGGAAGACTGGGCGGTGGCCAGTGGTATAACTTTCAACCTGAGAAAGTGCAAAGCAGTGAAATCACGCCCCTTTAGTCTGCAGAATGCAAGTTGCACCCTGTGCAACGAAAGCATGTCCTGAACAACGTCAGGGCGTGACTTAAGTCTAGTTCTAATGGAAACAATGGACACCAGTGTAAATTACACGGGGGATGTGGCGAGGGCATATGCGGTCATGCACTTTACACTTCATTCCTGAGCTCTTCTTAAGATTGTGCAAAACATACGTCAGATCACACCTTGAATTGCAGAATATCACTACACCCTGACTTCTTAGAAGAGACGTAAACCTTTTGGAAGTTGTCCAAAGACGGGCTACGAAAGGAGTGGTGGGTCTCCAAAACAAACCGCTTGAAGTACAGCTACAGAAATTAGGTCTCTTCACACATAGCTATCGTCAGTTTAGGGGGGATTTGATTACTGCCTTCAAGATAACAAATGACCAGAATCAACCAAACAGAGGTGTTCTGCCTTTGAGTCGGTATAGGTTTCCTCGTGGAAATCACAGAAAGATAGCTCACCAAAGGGTAAGGACCCGGGTGCGCTTCCACTCCTTTTCACTGCGGGTTTGCCGTCCCTGGAACCTCTTACTGGCAGATGTATCTATGGCACCGTATGTGGACAACCATGCAATGACACAGGGACTGCGTCCAAATGGTCTATCCCCTTAAATATAATACATCATTCATGGGTAAACAACTAAATTCGTCGTTTCACTTCTTTACATTTTCTCCCCTCTTACTCTCCTGACTGCTCCAACTACTACACTCACACTTATTATTATTATTATTATTATTATTATTATTATTATTATTATTATGGATATCATATGTATAAATATATATATATATATATATATTTATACGTATATCAAATTAAAATGGCCGTCTGTTTTTACGTTTTCTTTATTTCTTTTTTCTGTCTTTTAGTCTGAATAACATACAATCATTATACCTGTTATTATTATGTCTTCTTTAGACGACGATACCGGAGAACTAACTGGCGAAAGGATCAACTACATTCAAAGCAGTAAGTCTTAACACACCGCATACTACAAAACATATAATCAATCCCAGCACTACTCCTTTTGGAGTCAATCAAAGCTACGACAGTCGAGTGGCGGAACGAACCACGCAGAAGTTTACCGAACACCAGGAGCAGTTACTTCACAATCAAGAAGCGAGCACAAGGAAATCAAATCGGTTTATACTTCCTCGTAAAAACGATATTGGATGCCTAATGTCACGCTGACTAGAAGTCTTACAATCGAAAACCAACAAGTTCGCACAAGTGCCTGGCACCGAACACAGCACTTCAGGTGATGAAGATACCTAACCAACAACAACAACAACAAACACAAATCACTAGCAACGGGAGACACTTGAAAGAGGACATTTCCTCCACTTATCTCGGAAGCATCGTTTCAACTACAGGCAGTCGGAACAAACGAAGATGTCAAAGTCAGAATCGGAAAGGCAACACACACCTTCATCATTCTGAAATCAGGTGGCAAATTTTCTACACTCAACATCAAGACAAAACATTCGGATTTCTAATAACAATGTTAAGGCTGTCAGTTCCTCGATATGGGTCAGAAACTTGCAGTTTAGCGAAATGTGTTTTCAACTCTCTGCTGTCCTTAAGCAATAACTTTCGATGTCCTGTATTCTTCTAGGAACTCGTGGGAATAATATTATTGCTCCAACTTTTGATTCTCAACTAGGAGTAAGTTCCTTACATCAAACCCATTAGTTGTTTTTCGAATACTGCACATCCGTGAAATTGTTTGCGTTCTTGTACTTTGCTGAGTATTCGTTTGTTAAAATATCGGTGTTCATTTTGCTTTATTGTTAGATGGGAAATAAGACGAGTGTCTTGATATTTATCATAAATAACTCGTTGGAATGTTGTGATGTGCTTCAATTGAAATAGAATTTTGAGATTATTTATTATCCTCTTCTGATTTGACTGGCGGTAATAATATCTTCCATATTTCTGGTATTTGCATTGAGTCATTTCTGTTGCATGTGTTGGGTGTAGACTCAATGAACAAGGATTCAGTAATCAATCTCTCTCTCCACCTACATCGATTACTTCTTAGAATCTTAACCTTCTCCCACCCTATTGTGTGTTATTGCATGCAGTGCAATTGCTGAGCTTTTTTATAAATTACTTATCTTCTCTGGGTCGACCATTTTTACCTTAGCTAAATTCTTCTGTTCTAACAATTTGATTACCCCGATCTACTAGTTTGATCCATATAGCTGACCTCACAGTCATTGCAAGGTATTTTGTAAATTATATAATTTTGTTTAATTGGGTCTACCGGGTTTTTTAGCCTAGAGAGCTTGTCTCTGAGTGAGTTTGTAGGTTTGAATGCCACCCTAATTCCTGCTTTATTAAGAATCCTATGTAGGGTCTCAGATGTCCCCTCCTTATATGGTATAACAGGAGATGCCTATATTCTCTCTTATTTATTTTATCATTACTAGCTTCACAATTATTATTATTTTGCTTTTGGTCTTTTCTTATCTTCCTTATGAATTTTATAGGATTGTTATTCAACACCAACGCCTTTTCTATCTGTTTTATTTCATCATTTTGGTCTTTTCTTGTACAACTTAGTGCTACTGCTCGGTTTGTTAAACACTTAACTATGCCTGCCTTAACAGTTAACGGATGAGATGAATTAAAGTCTAAATACCTATTAGAAATTCGTTGGCTTTTTATAAACGCTAGTGTGCAGCTTACCTTCTTCTATTCGTTTTATTTTACAATCTAACATAGCTAATTCTCCTTGTTTATTTTCCGATTCAAATGTGAATTTTATTCCCTCTCTTAGTGAGTTTATATGTGTCAAGAAGCTGGAGATATGTTCTGCTTTCAACAATGTGAGTGAAAGTGTCGTCCACATATCTCCACCATATTTTTGGAGTAGGATTAAATGTATTAAGAGGAATATTTTCCCAGAACAACCACACAATAGGGTGGGATAGAGTCAAAATTCTAAAAAGTAATATAGTTAGGTGGAGAGAGAGGTTGATTACTGAATCCTTGTTCATCGAGTCTACACCCGACACGTGCAATAGGAATGAATCATCACTCATATCTGAAATATGGAAAATAATACTACCAATCAAATCAAGTGAAAATCAAGTGAAAAACAATGGAACTATATAAATGAATTTAGGAAGTCGTGTGATTAACTTGATATGATTATGAGCAATAAATTGTGCTCGAAACGTCATCAGTAAATATTACTGTATAACACTATGAGACTTTACCAAAATAAATTTCACCCATAATAGAATTATACAGTACCACAGTGCACAAGATTTATTCTTATATCAGGGAAATAAGATGTTTTATTCAAATACCTAATTAGCTTTACCCATGTATATAAATGAAGCAAAAAGTTGTGTGAGTGATTTGATATGATTATGAGCAATAATTTATGCTCGAAACGTCATCAGTTAATATTACTACACAACACTATGTGATTTATCAAAATAAAATCTTATCCACAAGGGTGATAGATTATTATGTTGTAGAATTGACTGACATTTGTCCGTCTGCCCCTAAAAGGAACTGATAATGTTGCAGGTGACCCATACCAGATGTCACAGAAAATACGACACCACTGACTATGTTACCTTACAATAATATCATCATACATATCTAAGGATCACCAGTTACGTAGTTCTTTAGAGACCTAACTGCCATAATCTTTATGGTACCAGAACAAAGAGGTTGACACTTCTGTAACTTGGACTACCAAAATTTTTCATAAAACATGGATCTATTGTGTGTGAGGCACTTTGTCGCATGAAGAGTAGTGCTACTATATTCTCTTCCTTATGTTTATTATTTTTTGAGCGGCGTACTCTACTTGTGTCTGTACTTTTTGCGAGTATATATATTCACTTGTGTGCTTCACTGAGAGTCGCCGTTTCCACAAAAATGCCTGTATGAGAAATGGGTCGTACAAAGAAGTTCAACCTATGCATATCGCTGCAAACACTGTTACCTAAGCAATGCATTGTAAATATTTATAGCAGAAACCAACTGTTTCATTTGACAGACAATTTATGTGGGTTTATGATAACATAAGGACCGCCTCGTCCAAGTCTTCCAGAAAAATACCCCTCATTGTGAACCAGAAACATACAAACTATGGATCCCACACACAATGAAATTTACATAGGGGATTCTTTTTTCAGCCATCACTAAACTAAAGCTACGAAATGTTGGCGTATTTATTCATTAGGCGAAGGACCCTGTTAAGTTTAGTCGGCACAGAAAACACTTCGACCAGTGAAAACTAGTAAAAGTCGTTACACAGATTCCACTGGTTAAATCGCGCACGAAACATTTTCTAGGCTGTTGTTTCGTTATATGGTGTGACAAGTTCAACCTTTTATCTAGTCCACTAATTACAAAACGGTCTTCTTGTCTATTTATTTTCACTACAAATTCGATAAGCAATCACAGAATATGATACGGAATTGAAGATAGACACCGATAACAATGGTGAACGCAGTAGTTCGAGTGAAGGTGAAATTTTTAACTGAACTCATATCTGTACCCCAAAATGGCTACGAAAATCAAACCTTGGCCTCAAACTTTTTCATGATATGTCACTTTGCGCTAAGAATCACCATCCGGAGAAATTTTCTTATTTGAAACCAGGAAGATCCTCGCTCTATCATTGTGACTACATTTTGCGTTATTTTAGTTAGAGTTTGGTTTGGTAACAATTTCATACTTTTAATTTTGGCATTTTCCATAACTCTTAACTACCTTTCGACCTCTGCTCACCTTAATTACTTAACCCTTACACAACATGTGATATCAGCTTACAACGTCGTTTCAATGTGAGAATTTTATCCTAAATTCTAGAATATATATATGCTGCTTTGCTTTACTTCGGCTATCTCCTACGGGAGGATGAGCCGGCTTCATGAACATCTCCAATCATCGCTGCCCAGGAGCGGCGATCTGATGCACTTTCCACACTGGCCACCGGGTGAGCACAGGGCGCGTCGCTTACCGGGAACGCCGTAGCATGGTGAGAGTCGTTTGTAAGAGAGTTCATGAAGTTTCATGGGAATTTGGTACGAGTGATGTCCCCAGAATCGCTCGGCCTTTTGTTTGAGAGTCCAGCTCTAGCCTTTACACAACCGAGTGTGACCTACAAGGCAGTAGGAGTGGAGTAGGGAGTCCACTATCCATTGGCAGCCGGTGACCGGAGTTCGGTTCATACGCCTTTTTGAATGGGGCCAGACATCCAGGACATCCAACAAGCCCTTTGTCCATACGTCTGCCGGTGAGCTCCAGTGAGCTTCATACGCCAGTCGTTGGAGGTTTGGAATCAGGGTTTAGCCATCTCCCCTAGACTGTCATCCAATATATATATAAGCCTAAGAACAACCTTTATCTCTCAGGTACACTACTCAATTGTGTAATTCTAATGGCTTTGATTTTCATGTTCAGCAACTTAAGTATGTGAATACTGCGTATATTGACATTAAATTGCATGCAGTTGAGAAGAAACTCGACAAAATCAAACATTATGTTATCTCGCTCACTTTGTCTTTCTTGTTTTATTGACGTTCATCAAGGGGGAAAATTGTATGAAGTCCGAAAAGAGCAAATCAGATAATACATGTATCACATATTTTTTCCAACAGAGACGACAAAAATCAGAAATATCAAAGAAAAGTCGTTCGCAATGCAAACTTAAATTTTGTAAAAACACGGATGTACTCAATCTATGAAAGTTCTTGTAGCCTTAAGCTTTTAATAAAAATTATATTTATATTTAAGAGTTTGTAAAGAAAAGCATTTTCTTAAAGTACTGGTTGAAGTCCTAAGTGCTGAAGTTGTGCACTTAAATTAACTCGCTGATCATTCAATTCAGCAAGCTCACACTGCATTTCATTGTTCAGGCGAAGTAAGGTATGGTTCACAGATTTGGCTTCACGGATAAGTGAAGATAAGAGACGACGTCGATGACTACTGGGTAATTCAGATAGGAATGTTGTTCGACGACCAGTGATGGATGCTAACAAGCGAATAGGATCAGTATACCTAATTTGCAAAGAAAACAGGTAAATGACTGTTTACGAAAAAGCGAATATCAGTATAATAAACTGTGTGAAGTTATGTATCTTTCATACAAAATGAAGCATGAAGGAAATTAGTTAAATGGAACGGAGAAAATGCATTTGAGGATATTCAAAGAGTAAATTCGGTCTTCAGAAACCAGTTATCAGTTAGCACGTGTGAAAAATTCGATAGCAACAATAGATTTACTGATTAACTAACAAAATGTGTGTAGTCAACTTAAATTTTATGCATAAGTGAGAATCATAATATTCGGGTTAAAGTCTGTATATTATCCTACTAAGGAGTTGATAAAGTTGTCGCTTACCTCTTGTTATCTATACTATTGGAATCTTTAATATTAAAAAACATTTCAAACCAATAGTAGTGCTGTGGAAATTTCAAACGTTGTTCACACTCAAAATGAGTAATCGGTCAAATATTTGCCTTTACGATTTATTACTCACAGAACTATGGGCGCCGGTGGCACAGCGGTAGAATGCTCGCCAACCACGCAGGTGGTTGAGGATTCGATTCCTGGCCAACCAACCCACTCCTTTACCTCGCTAAGCCAGTAATAAGACTGGTAAGGAGGAAAGGTTGGGCATGAGGCTAGCAACCCCATCCTGTAAAAATAAACATCACTGCTACCGAAACTTAAAGCCTTTAACCCGAAGCCCTATGTCCCACTGGGAACCTAAGGAAATGAAATATAAAAAAATACTCACAGAACTATAAGAACCACCAGGAAAAAATCATAAAGCTTTAAAATTTACAAATGAAGTCGTAAGTAAACACTAAAAAAAAAATCTTACGAATTATGTGTGCTGGTTTTTTCACTAGACATATGCACTGAATCCGCAGTATTCTGAGCAAATCGACTAGAATCGGTCTCCGAAGTAGATGAATGTGAAGATGAATATGATGAAAGCGAAGCAGAAGATGAAGAAGACGATGAGGCGGATCCACTGCCAACAGTATCAGCAGAAGAGGGAGATCTACCTGAACTTTCACAGCCTCTTGTAGGAGGAACATGTGACAAATTTTCGAATGAATTATAAAAAGAGTTTGTAGATTCTGTCTCAGAAGCATCACATTTAGAATCCATATTAGCCGAATGAGAAAAGCACTCAGAAATGCTTAGGTTTTTCTGACTAAAGTGATCAAGTATGGAATATTGTTTTTTATTATTAGTCAGTAAACCAGTAGTGCATAAGTGTTCATCGTCAAAATAGTCAGTATGATCACCTATAATGAAAAGTGAAAATCACAGATATTAAGATTTAGGAAATTAAAATGATTTCAGGCAATGTTAACTTGGTGTAACTGCAGGTATCAGTAGAGAAACGTATGTTCAAAGAAAGAAAAAAAACGTTTCATTATTATTAAAATACTCTACGTTTCATAGAATTCACCTTTCCTTACATATGTAATATACAGTATGAAGAAGCAAAAAATCGCAAAATAATAATACTACGAAGTAATAATGAATGTATGCATTTTATAAAAATACATTGGAGCAGAAGCATGAGATTGTGATATTTCAAGTATTTGCTTTATTTCAAGTATTCAGACTTCTGTATTGGCATTTTTGTCAACCATCTCATATAACGGCACCCACAGTTTTCCGCCTGAGTTGAGGAAATTAAGATCATTAAAAAAATTTCAAATGGTGCGTCGGTGGCACAGCGGTTAGGACGCTCGCCGACCATGCACATGGTCCGGGGTTCGATTCCAGGCCGACGCACTCCTTTGCCTCGCTAAACCAGAAATAAAGCTGATGAAGAGGAAAGGTTGGGAATGAGGCTAGCAACCCCATCCTGTAAAAATAAACACTGCTACAGAAACTTCAAGCCTCCAGCTTGAAGCCCTATGTTCCACTGGGAACGTGAAGGAATAAAAAAAGAAAATTTCAAATAATTATAGACATGCGCCAGGGCCCACATAACAGACTAGAAATTAAGCACAGTATGTAGGTAAACAATAATGCTCAGTGAGTCAGTCAGTCATACGAGTGATGAAAAACATAATGCTGAATAAAAATCGGGAATATGCAATTTAAATGCATAGATAAAACACATATCATTTGAAAGGAACTTACCGTACACTTGAGATTGTGCTAATCTTTTATTAATCTTACGAATATATGGTTTACATGCTATAACAGCGTCTTCCAATGACAAATCACGACGACCGAATAAATGTGCTAGATGACTAGCTAAACAAAATTCATACTTGTCTAAATAATTGTCCCTGTTTATATCAGCAATAAACCTAAATGATAAAAAAAAGAAAATATATAATAACACAATCTCCGAGATATACGTACTACATATAATATCACCAAAATAACATGGGGAGACTAAGTGTTTGTCCACACTACTGTGTGGGATCCACTAATACTATGACAATAGTATAAGTCGTTACTTGCAATTTACTTGTTTATTTGGCAAAATGACATACAGTAGTGGCAAAAATATGGAAGCCTTATACTGAAACTTCAACCCGCAGGAAGTACTCGTATTCTGCTTCTTTTCTCTTTAATTCCTGATTTGTATGATGCTTAGCAATTCGCTTGATTTCTCTTCTTTTCAACTTAATCCTTTGCTCCGCTGTTCAAAGTAGCGAAAATCTCAGTAACGCACAGCACAATACTGCCTAGCTGCCTAAACCTCCATAAGTGGAGCAGAGTATGAACCCGTGACCTAGTGTTTACTAGCCGAAAATCTTCATTTATGAGCCATACCTAAATTATTATTTGCAACATAAATAGTAGGTGAGTCTTGTTTTTAGGTGAGCAGCGTCAATTCTAACAGGCAAGTGTCAGTTATTAGGTTTGTGAACATCCAACAGACATAGTTAGAATGAATGACCACCTACAGCTTACTTCAGCACAGGAACATTAGTATCTGGTAAGAAGGAGAGATCTTGTGATGATTTGACTGAAGCAGCAGCAACGCATTCAAATAAATAGCAATAATTAAGATAAAAATTTTCCAAATTGCAGGATTTGGAATAAAAATTAAATTTAGAAAGCACCGAAGATTAATGATTGGAAGAGACATGAATGTTAGTGCTAGTTTGCAGAGAGCTGACACAGCTTTGTCACCCATGCAGTAGAACGTGAGGTGCTTGAAAAGACCCACTAAGTCATAGTTTACGACTATTTAAGTGCATCCTATTAAAAGACGTTCATTTTCTCAAAATTGAGTTATTATATAGAAAAAGTTACCAGAGAAAGAAATTCATAGGGTGAAATAGGACTAGATAGTTAGGGAAGGCACAAAGGTTTTGGTGTTTCATCAGGGTACAATAAAACAGTCATTGTGATTATCGTTGTAAATTGTGGTCTGTACTACAGACAAGATTTATCAATAGTACATAAAGAGACGTTCACCGGCATTAAAACATCAAAAGGCGGATGGATTTGAAGTCAAAGAAACACACTACAAAGGGCAGAAGTAACACAACACGGAGGATCTGTTCAAATGACTATTTTAATATTGATTATGCATAATTCCCCTATATGTGTATATCAAACTTGAAATTCCGTTACCAACTACTCTTGTGTTCTTCCGCTACATAATTATTCCCATTAAGCTTCACAGACGAATAAACAACTAATTTATGAAGAGCGGTGTTACTTTCAAGTCGTGGATTTATCGATCACAATTTGTCGTTTGATGAAATACCATTACGCAAAGTGCATGCCGACGGCCACATTAATTGTTGATATCAAGACCGCCTTCCATTCATTGTGCAAGTCTTTTTTCTTGGAACTGTTTGCTAGAAAGAAATGTCCATTACAGCATTATCAGCAATCTGAGAGCCCTATACAAAAAACCTTCGTTAGAGTGAGGGGATAGAATCTAATCTTGAAACACATTATGTTAAACACAATTACTGACTGTCGCCACTTCCCCTGAACAAAAGTCAATTCTGATGGGTGCATGGATTTGCCGTATGGAGGAAGGCTTTGTGTCTATAAATATGTTCACAACATCATCTTAGTGTGAGGCAACATACAGGCTCACAGAACGCACTTAATTGGTTACCTTTCACAGTATCTCTGGGTGTAGTATGTTTTTTGAACCACTCAAGTGTAAAATGCCGTTTTAGAATTAGAAGCAGGTTTTCGCGATCACCTCCCCACATGGATCGATAAAAAAACGTTAAGAAGACTACATATCAAGGCAATGTATGAATGTTAATAGTGTGACAGATGAAAATTTTTGGCGCATAACCAAAGGAAATAGAGGAATAGACCAAATTAAGTGGCTCCGCAGGATGAAAAATAGTTGCTATATCACAGTTCCCTCTGATGGGACCCAACAGACGATGCAATTCAGTGGCTCGAGAAGTTATCAGAAATGACTCAGAATTTAAGGTAATAGTAAACATGATGCACTTTCTGATGTTTTGGAGAGTATAAATGATCTTCCAAATATTCTTTTTAATCATACTTACTTGTTTCTAGTATTTACCCCTCAGCCGTTTAGTTTTTATTTTCTTTAATATAGTTTTATGATAATGTTATGTGGTGCATCCTCTTAGTGTCTAAATATAACAAGTTGGTGTTTTAAATAAAATAAAATAACAAATAGCCATCATAATTGAAGCAATTACGCAGCCTTGCAAATTATTATTAATTATTATTGCCTTCTGGTGTTCCGAGTCGAATGTAGGGATTCAAGAAGAGATCTCGATTTTTTCCTGTTCCCTGCAGTCCTCTTTATCTGGCTCTATTATTGCCCATAGTCTCCAATCTCTTCCTGACACGATCTCCTCCATGTCACCACCAGACGCCCAACTCGTCGTTTCTCATTCAGGTGCCACTCGAGCAGCGGTCCGTCCCGCGATGTCATTCAACGATCTCTTCAGTGTGCGTTCGACCCATCTTCATCCTGTACGGAATAGGTTCTTGATTGGTTTGTTCCCAGAGTTTCTTGTTGCTGGTTCTTTCCGCCAGCCATTTGATATTCAGTGTGGAGAGAAGGTGGCCGTGCGGCTGATTGTTAGGAATACTTCTCGTAACGCGTCAAGTTTCTGACCTACATGGAAGTACCAACTGACTTTACACTGGTGTTGAAAATCCGAATTTTATTTTTGACTCTGAGTGTGGAAGATTTCCAAACTGATTTCAGGGTGATGAAACGATGCTGCCAAGATAAATGAAGGGAAGGACCTCTTACAAATTCCTTGAGTCGACAGTGATTGGAGCCTGTTGTTGTTGTTGTTGGTCAGGTGTGTTCACTACCTCCATCTTGTCTACGTTCACTTGAGATCCTATCTTTGCTGCTTTGCAAATTAAGTAGACTTGTGTTTTAGGGAATTACCTGTTGCTCCAAAATAGTGTGTGAATCATTCTCGCAAACCTAGATGTAAGATATTTTTTTTAAAATTTCGATTCTCCCTTTATTTCTCTTTCATACTTGACATTTACGCTAGCACCTGTAAACACTAATTTGTGAAGGATTTTTGCTACCTGAACTAATGTTGTACTGCTGTTTTTATCAGTTTGCCACATGGGGAATATGGTACTCCGTTGGAAGTCAGGTGATCTGCCAAAGAAAACTGAAGTCTAAAAACGAATAACTACGAGGACACCACTGGTTTAGCTTACCCTTAAGGAAATCAATAAAACTATTAGTATCGAGTGGATAATATATGATCATCCACAGGCTAAAAAATGTATTTTCGCAAATTAACTGTATGACACATCAATGAGATGCTCACTAGTGACTTGCCCTATTCAGGTAGGTAGTTGCCTGGGGTTCTAGTGAGAAGTCGTGACCAGTAGGGTGCAGCAGGTCGGGCGTGAGGACAAATACTCGCCGAAGACATTGGCTAGGGGTCGCGCTATGTCGTGAATTGGCAGAAGTTAGAATTCATGGGCCATTGGATCGGGTCCCAGTGGCTTAATGGTATACGAGCTCGCCTTGTAACCAGAAGCTCCTGGGTTCGAATCCCCGTGGGTGCGTACTGATGAAGAGTCCCAAACTAGGACGAAACAGCTGTCCAGTACTCCCAGGTTTTCCAATGGTTCTCTAACTAATGTCAGCTCATGATGAAAATCCTGAAACCAATCAAATCCCTACAAACCAACACTTGTATGACACATCCTTAGGTTAATCGTCAAAAATGAACTATTGAACTCGGCTTTCTGAGGTGATAAACTCCAATATCTCAGAATCATTTCATTTATCATCCTCATTTGAATCATATTTTGGATGTTTATTTATTTCAGTCTAGTGACAAAAAATATATGAATTAGTATTACACTTGTAAAAAAGATCAATACACTACTTACCATATTTGATCGAAATCAGCTGGTGAGATTTTATACTGAGCTGTAAACAACTGAGTTACTTCCGCATGTGATACCATTAACTGCTGTTTACCAGTAGCAGTATCTTTAGATATAAACAATTCATCAAACTGCGATGCATATTCAGCTTCTCGTTTCGACTGCAAAGCAAACGATTCCAACCATTTACGACGCCGTTCTTTGCGTTTTTCACCGCGATTGTAATAACTGCCATTATACTGAGACAGTGGAAATGAAGAACTACGACTGTGTGACAACTTCCAACTATGGACTTCATTTATTTGTAAATTATTCATTGATAAATGATCATTATCCTTGGGAATTGAATAACGAAAACCACTAGTCTGTGAAGCTTGAATATTTTTAGATAAAAAGAGGAAATATATTAATATACAGAAACATGCGTTGAGAAAATGTGCTATTATTTGTACTAAATGATAGCTAGTGATAACACAAGTTGATTACACAGTACAAAAGAAATCCCGACTTAGTTTTTTAGACGAGAAAAAGACTGAGTAAATAATTTTCTCTCCCATAATTTTCTCATTACGTTTTACACAATACTTGTAGAATAACTGGTATCAGCAACAGGGTTTTTTTAAAAAAAAAATCAAGTCATCAAGGTCAATAAATTACAGTTCCAAGATACGTGTATGAGACAATATTCCTAAATACCATATTACAACTAACATCAAAAAATATTAAGAAAATTAATGCAAGAATTAAAGGGTAGAATAATAATACAGTCAAAATAGTAAGAATTCGTAAGTAGCTTAGGGGGGAGGGGAGGGGAAATTGAACCTTTTGGATATCCATTTTACTAAGTAATTCTTTAATAGTTTTAAGTCGTTACAGCAAATGACTCTAGCTCAATTAGCCAAACACTACTATATTACTTTTATATTTCGAAGGTACAAAACTCAAAAAGGGAGTATATCGACCACACGCCACTTCCTTTCGCATAACTCAGTCATTTGAGTGAGTATCGAGCTATGCAAGAAGTCAGTCGCTTTCCTGTACGACCTATATGTCTGCTTTCAAACTGCTCTAGTGATTGCATTCTTTGATTTGTCATATCTTGTCAAATTAATTAGCTAATTTTTTACTCCCATTCGTAACGACACTTCGTCATAATTTGATTATGATTATTATTGAAACAAACTTTTGTGTACCTGCACTGCTCTCAGCTTGTCTCATTTACTTGTCAGCCGTATTATTATAATTATTAATTTCACAAATTCAACACTTTTTAATAGTAACAATTCCCAAATCGAAAGTGATTGGATTTCATGTGAACCTGACTGAAGTTTCAACGTAAAACTTTGCACTAAAGTGCAGCAGTTCAAGTTGATACACCTTAAATAAGCACATAAAGTAGAAAAAAACTAATTATACGACAACGGACTACAACTTACAGGGGAAAGGATAATTAGGTGATGAGTGAAGATTTTCAAAATCTGCATGTTGCCAAGGAGTGAATAAATCTGCACTGTTCAGAAAAATTTTGGACAATTTCACCAAAAGTCTCTGACTACTGATTATCAGCACCCATCCAGGCACTCTATCTCCTTACGTGGAACTAACCAAAAGAAACTTTATGGATTGATATAACGTTTCCTTCTGATTCCGAAATAACTGCTTTCTAACTAATCCAATTTTAGTAACATCGTCCTTCGAGCAAGGCAGTGACTCATCACACGTTACACACCTTAGTCATGCCAGTTGATGACAAATGCCTAATAAACCATCTGTATTCGTGCGAAACTCCCCTTAGCAATTAATTCATTAAGAAGCGTGCAACTCCAGAAGTAATTGATGTGGTGAATATATATTCAACTATTTGACTGTTTACACTTAAACTAGTTAGTGAACTCCACTCGTACGGTAATAATTTTACATTCGACAGGAGTGAATTAGACACCAAATGTATTGAGACTTCTGCACAAGGTTTTTAGTAGGCTGTATTTTATCAGCATCTTCATCTGGTAAGATTACAATTACATACTCTAGGTCAACGTAACTGTTCCCTCGCGAAACAAATCATCTCCTGAAGAGTCGAAGTCAAAAGTGTCACATCCACTAATTAGTACACTCAATCAGACAATGTTAAAGTGGTGACATCCCCTGCGCGGATACTATTAGCTGTCATCACCAGCACTACTCATCACTTCAGATGACCAGCTGCTGCTATAAGCTCTTACATGGGTGTATGAGTTCGAGTACTGTCTTCACTTATACACCATACTTTTTCGGTGCAATTTTTACGGCTAAATATTGCTACATCACTTTTGGAACAACTACGTCAAATGTCTCCTTCATATCAAGAAATACGACAAGTAAGCCTATGTTCCAAAAGCTGTCGAAAGATGAAGATATAATCATTTCACCGTTATGAGGGCCTAAAGCCATCCTAGTTTCCATGGGTCACAGAATTTATTATATGATTATATCTTTGGGCTCCAACAGTGCACTTCTGTTAGTTTTTTCTCCAGTCATTTTCAGATGACTTCATAATTGACATAAGCCTTCATTCTTTCTTCATATGATAGCCCACCCTGCCACCCTCCGACGGCCAACTCGGAGTTTCGCTTTCGGGTTCCACTCGAAAGATGTCGTTTAATTCTCTTCAGCGAATATCTAATCTATCCCCAAGGCCTTCTGATTACTTTTTGAGTAATAAGTTCTTGCTTTCTGCATCATTATCAGAGTCAGTTGCTGTCTGTCCTATCCAAATACTTTACCTTTAGTAACGAGAAAAGGCAGGTATCGATAAAAGACAGTATTTTGCTGGAAATTCTTTAAGTGATACATGACGCAAGTCTTAGAACTATATAGAACTCACTTAGCATTTGTGCTGAAAATCTGTATATTGTTCTAGATGTTGAGTGTCTCTGTCTGTCTGGATTCAACGTAGAACTTGGCACCGAAGTGCAGCAGTTCGAGTTGACACGTTACAAAGAGCACACAAAGGTAGACAAGAAAATGAGTGAAGAGAATCAATAGAGTTTTGACAGGTATAAGAGTGAAACAGAATGGGTAATGGTAGAAAGGAATATGAAAGATTACAGAGACTGAATACATCTGCGCCATTGACAACGATTTGGAGCCATGTCACCTAGTGTCTCCAGCCATTGATTCTCAGAGTCCCGAGGGCCCAAACCCGGAAGTCTGCATCTCCCTACCTGACTTAGTTTAGCTGTCAAGAATTTCATGGATTGATGCCATGTTTCTCTTTGGTCACCACTTACTCTTTTCCAACCTGCACCTATATCAGCTAGTACTGACCGTCGTGGGAGGCGGTGGCTAGGCATGCGCAGCACGTGACCTAGTCATCTCAATCTATGTAACTTTATAGCCTCGTCGATTGATTTTCCGTCTTTGCCCAACACTCTTACTTACCTTATTATACCACCTAACGCGAGAGAGAGATCGTAAACATCTGTGGTCGAAAACAGACAATCTCTTCATGTCTTCCGCTCTCAATGGCCACGTCTCACCGCCATAGAGAAGGACGGAGCGAACTGCTGAGCAGCACACACGTTCCTTGGTTGATAGCTGGATGTCACACCTACGCCAGAGACGGTGTAAGTTAGCGAAAGCAACCCGAGCTTTTTGGATCCGTGCTGAGATTTCGTCGTCAATCAGTCCGTTGGTGCTGATACAACTTCCCAAATAGGTGAAGTGGTCAACATGTTCTATCACTTCACTCCCTATCACTAAGCTGGGAATTAACGTAGTCCAGTCCTGTAGCAGCATCTTACATTTCACAGGGGCGAATCGCAAGCCAAACATACGAAGATTGCTGCTCAAGGTGTTCAGAAGACTCTGCATTTTGTCAGAATCCTCCCCTAACAGGATTATGTCATCTGCATATTCTAAGTCCATAAGACGATTCCCTGGTAACAAGTCGATTCCTAAGTCGTTAAGTTCAGTTAAGGATACTTCCATTAGCATATCTATGATGAAGTTAAACAGAAATGGGGAAAGTGGACGTCCCTGACGGACACCACTGGTTGTTATCAATTCAGATGACAATTCCCCATAAGCCCTTACACGACTACGTGAGTTTGAGTAGAGTGCCTTGATTAGTGCAATGTACTTTCTTGGCACTCCCTTCATAGTCAAACATTGCCGTAGTACCTTTCGATCCACGGAGTCGAAGGCCGCCTTCAAGTCAAGAAATATGGCAATTGTTGGACGCCGAAAAGTGTGTCTATGTTCTAGGATCTGTCGGAGAGTGAAGATATGATCTATGCACCCTCTACCTGGCCTAAAGCCTGCTTGATTTTCCCTCGTTTGTTCCTCCCGAGTTCTGCTTGGTCTGTGCATGATTACTGAGCCTAGAATTTTAGAAACTGTTCGTTAGGCTGATCCCCCTATGATTATCACATGAGGACTTGTCTCCCTTCTTGAATATCGGTATAATAAGTGACTTACCCCAGTCTGATGGAACTGTCTCTGATTCCCAGACGTTACCTAGTACCTTAGTTAAACTATATACTAGTATGTCACCCCCATATTTAAACACCTCCGGAATAATTCCGTCGGGTCCTGCCGCTTTGCCTCGTTTCAAATTACGGATAGCTTTTGTGACCTCACTTACAGACGGCGGGCCAGTGTCTATGTCCCATTCGGGTGTGTGCTGGATGGCGAGGAGGCTCAGTGTGGCTGTAGGCAAGTTAAATTGTTCCTCAAAGTGTTCCTTCCAGCGTATAAGGCGTCTATCCTGAGAGCTAATTAACGAGCTGATATTGAGTGTAGAAAATTTGTCATCTGATTTTCAGAGTGATGGTGTATGTTGCCTTTCCGATTCTGGCTTTGATATCCTCATGCGTCCCAAGGGTAGCTGAGACGATGCTGCCAAGGTAAGTGGAGGGAATGTCCTCTTTCAAGCGTCTCCCGTTGCTAGTGATTTGTGCTTGTTGTTGTTGTTGGTTAGGTATCTTCATCACCTCCGTCTTATCCATGTTCATCACGTGAAGTGATGTGTTCGGTGCCAGCCACTTGTGCGAACTTGTTGGTTTTCGACTGTAAGACTTCTAGTTGGTGTGACATTGGACATAGATCGTCCGAAAAATCCAGATCTTCTATAGCCTTCTTATCGGTGTAACGTATTCCTGACTTGTCGTTCGCCACGGACGGTGTTCTGCATAATCCGGTTCACCACAATTAGGAATATCATTAGTGACAATGGACAGTCAACCTCCTCTATCTCTTGTCTTCACTTAGAAGTCTTCACTGAGTTTCCCGTCGTTGGTTACTTGACTTGTGGCATTGTCACATAGTTGTTGAATGCGGTTGATAAAGGTTGGAGATGATGGCTAGTGTTTGGGCAGTTCACACATCAATAATTCACGGTCGACGCTGTTGAATGCATTTTTAAATTCGATGAAGTTGAGGTAGAGATTTGATTGGGATTTTATGCTCCGTTCGATGGTGATTCGTATTGTTGCGATTTGATCAGCATGTGATTTGCTTTTCCTGAATCCAGCTTGTTGTTGTTTGGTGGAGTTCTGCATCCGTAGCATCCTTTATTTTCCCCAAGATGACACAAATTAGTATCTTGCTTTGCGTTGACAACAGCCTGATTCTGTGACAGTTTTGCAGAGGCCAAGGTGGCTTTTCTCTGGTAGTTTGGCAAGGTAGCCTTTGTTCGAAACAGCAGGTAACTTTGCTTCCTTCTAGACGTTTTCCAATGGTAGTGTGAGCACACCCGCTACAGTCCCAGGATTCGTTTTCAATGCTTATAAGAGAATTCAGTCTGATCCTGAGGACTTTCAGTAACCTCAAAGCATTCAATACTTTTGATTTTTTTGAATGATCGGTGTCCACTAGCATTTTGGTGGCTGAGTGATGGTATTTCTAGTCAAGTTGCAGATGGCGGTCGATCCACTCAATCTACTCATGATTACTGAGTCTAGTACTTCAGGTACTACGTTAGTCAAGCTTATCTGCATTTGATTGTCTCAGGAAGGCTTATCTCCCTTATAGAGTAGTAAAATTAGTGATTCACACACAATGTGACTACCTCCGATCTCCATACATTGCCTACTGATTGAGTTTATCCTCAAAGACATCTTAAGTAACTGCACAAAGTTTCACAACCTTTGTCTCAATTCAGATTTGAAACAGATTTTGTAACCATTAGTGATACCTGGGCGACCAATGTCTACACCTCACACAGGTGGATATTGTATGCTGAGCAAATTTAGCTAAATTTCTCCTCAAATTGCTAACTCGAACTTTCCAGTTGTCTATTCTGAGTGGCAATTAAAGTACTGTCCTCGAAAACTGTTTTTCTCATCACTGGTTTTTTACAACCCGCTCCCCTAATGAACATATATAGTTGTTTTTTGTTACCTACTGTCGATGCCTTTTTCGTCTCTGTGGCTTTCATCACCCACAATTGTTCCCAGTAGTTGAAGAAACTTTTAGTCAGTTTGCATTTGAGTAGCTTTTGCTCTTTGTTATCTTTAGGGCCCTTCGGAATCAATCTTCCTGTCTATTTGTTCAGATGAGACAGTAGAAATTCACTGGCATTTACTAATCTTCGGTTTCAAGTTATCAACAGCCTTTACCTCTGTTTCTACAGCTGACTAAATATTATACTATATTTACTGAGGACAAATCTTGCTGTCAACCAGAGATACGCGCTTCCCCAACTCTTCTCTAAAAAGAGACTTTGTGTTCTTATCAAGTTGAGAGAATAACAGATTCATAGCGACTTTTTTCTATGTGTTCAATTGTAGGCGTGTGCATGCACGGGGTAGAGAGTTGTCGGAGTCTACAAAATTGCTTAGTTCAGAAGGAGCGACAGTTTTCTTACGACTCTTTATCCATAACTATGTGGTCTATTTTAGTCCATTATTGGATTGATGATGAAAGTCACCAGGTTACGCAATGTCTCTGTTTATGTTTGAAGTTCGCATTAACTTTGAACTTTACCTTGATAGATGGCTTTTGTGCTGCTTAGCCACCCAGGGGAGAATTACAAAAAGCAGAGTACTAGCGTCTTTTGGAAGACTCTGACTGTTGTACGGGACTTTCTCGAATATGCTATTAACAGACAAAGACTGGCAATAGAAGAATTACCAAGAAATCATATTATATTGATTAAGGCATTCTACTCTAATTTATGCAGCCGTGTAAGCGCTTATAAAGAGTTGTCATCGGTAGTGGTGACAATTACTGATGTCTGTTAGAGATTTACATTGTAATCATTCCTAATCTACTCATTTACTTAACCTTATCACAGATGTACTGATGGATAGTTTTGCTGATTCAGATTATGCATATGATAACTTAATTTTAATTAAAGATGCTGACAAAAAAACATTGAAGAGAACACTGAACGCTTTTGCCTTACGATTTATCCCTGTCAGAAATGGATGATGTGCACTTAATTTAAGAGGAGTTAGTGAAATAACTGAATGTATTGACCACTTCATTCATTTTGAAACATGAATCAGTCCTAATGCACTGATTCCTGACGAATTCTCTAGGTAAATAGAAAGATTCGTTTGTCATTTACCAACTTGTGTTGTATTCGGCACAGGTGTGATACACTGCTACCAATCAAAGGGCGTGTGTAGTGTCCAACAGGTACCGCTGTACTATTTTACAGTGAGACAAGCACAGTAAAGGTGAGATATGGGGAGATTAGAAGTTGATAAACAAGGCATATTCTCTCGGTTACTCAACTTTCATTAAGCAAGTAATAGCGATGTCAAGTGAGTGAGTAAAAATAATTGGTGAAATTATGAAACTCAATTTATAGAGGTGTTTAGGAGGCGTTATGCGCATGCGAGGTCAGTGAATCCCTCGGTTTCTGAAGGTGAAAGTGCAAGGAACTACCATAGGAGATTGACAGCAAGTTTATATAAGAGCCTACTAAATGAAGAGATGAAAACAGAAAGTGCCACATAACATAGCTGCAAGTTTGCTCCAAATAGCTGAGAGTTAGTCAACAAGTTAGCCCACTGATTTGCCTAACTATTATCAATAACAACTAGGTTATTACTATTACTTAAATTATAATTAAGTCTTAATGTCAACAAAATGTTTAACTTACAGTGGTAAGTAGATCCTATTCTGTGTTTGATTTTCTTCAGTGGATCAGAAGAATGACAGTCGGATAAATCTTGATAACCCCAAACATCAGCGTCATGCAACTTCTCCGTTTCTTCATTACCATCGGCTGAAAAGCTCACAGGATTCGCAAGACGATTGGATAAGTTAGAATCTTGAGATGTAATAGTGCTAGAAGATCTAGATGATGAAGAGCAGTCAGCACTTTTACGTATTGAACCATCTAGAGTATACCAGTCAGAATTTTGAAAATATTTTTTATCGTTATCAAAAGAAGCGAAATTATCAGGTTGCTTAGTGGATTCATCAGTTAGAAGTCCTTAAAAAAGAAAACAGTAAATATGCAAATTATAAGTGACAGTTATATATATATATATATATATATATATATATATATATCAAAAACAGTGATGTATATATTCCTCTTGTAATAGTAGTGGCGTAAGTTACATTCAAAGTCAATTACGCATAATTCGAAAAAAAAAACTAGAAATCAATGTGCTAAGTGTGTTTATTAAAATTGTCAGAAATACAAAAAGACCAGTTGTACCCAATGAAGTTAAACATTCGTCAACAGTTGAGCTAACTGATATCAGTCCGTGATCAACTCGTAAAAAATAACGTTTATACATTGGCTTTGATGTACCGAGCATAGAAAGCTGAAGGCTACTGAAATATTTTTATTTCATTCGAAGCATGACAAAAATAGAAACTACAGAGGAACTGATGCTACCCAGTACTCAATCTCTACATTTAACACCAGAATATTAAGATACAAGAGAAAAGATATAAAGGTAAAGACAAGTTTCGGCAGCAGTAAAACAATAAATGAGACCACTAGTATCATTACGAATATTTTTCCTAGTTTCGTACGTCTTATGTTTATAGAATCCGTTTTCACTACTCACATTCACCTGCCACTTCTACATTGATGGTACATCAGCTTTTATCAAAGCAATTATTGCTGATTAATAACCTCGAGTACAAAACAGTAAAGGTGTTCCTTCATGGTTGTGTAATAACTCTCTAGTGTCCATCATAGTTCGCCACTCACATACTCGTTTAATACTGATAGGCTATGTAAATGGCGTTGTTGATGCCTCATCGTCTTTACAGATTTTGCCCACATATCATTGTCCACAATTATGTGTTGGGTAGGTCTTAGTGATATCCTTATCAAGTTAGAGAAACTGAAGGTTAATCTGAAATGGACTACAAACAATATTTAAAAACTTCCATATTCCTTTTTTTTTATTCGACATATTACACAATGAAACAGTATTATTTACTGGATGACGTTTAGAACACAAGCAACTGTTTTTAATTACAACTGCACAAATTTGAAGCTTAACTTTTTTGTCCCTTTCCTTCTCATTTGTCTTAGGGGCAGTAGAATTTTCCAGGTGTTCGGGACAGGTATTGAGTCATTCATACTGCATGTATTCTTAGTTGATTCGATAAATGAAGCTTCAGTTATCGCAGCTTCTTTCCACATTTATACTAGACTTCAAAACTGTCATCTTGTGCCATCCTATTGTACAGTTGTGTCCAACTGTATTAAATGCTATAGTTGAGATATTTTCAGGATATTATATTAGTGTTGCCAGGTTTTTGTGCTCCGCTAATCTCAATTACCCCATCCTACTGCCTTTGCCCACTTATTTGACACCACAACCATTGCAGGGTATTAGAAAATCTAAATTGTTTAGTTTAATGGTCGACATAGGATTCCTTATCCAACATAATTTATTTTGAAGTGAGTCTATGGGTTTGAGTGTCATTTTTATCCCTGTTGTGTCTGAAATTATACCTAAGATTTCAGAAATCCCATCTTTGTATGGAAGCACTACTGGTGTTTTGAATTCCTTATTGTTGTTTACATCTTTCCATATATTTGTCACGCATGTTGTCTGTACTGTTAATTTTACTTTTACATATTCCCATATACTTCCTGATTAATTTATAGGGCTAATTGGTAAACGTCAAAGCTTCTCTCGCATGGCTAAGTCTTTTGCCCTATTATTTAAACATTTCACTAATCCAAATCTTAACCGACATGTGGTGGAATGAAAGGAAATCCAAATAACGGTTTGAATGTGTGGGTTCCCTGTAAGCACTAGTGTTTAACTTCCCATTTCGTTTACTACTTATGATAAAATGTAAGATTGGGAGCCTCTCTTCGTGAATTTTCAAAAGAAACTGTAGTGGAATTCCCCCCCTCCCCAAACTGTGCAAATTACAAACGACTAGTTTTATCCCTTAGTTAACATGCCTAGAAGAACACAAGTTACACAGAAGGAATCCTACGATATTATTCTATGACACAGCCACTTTCAATGACAATAAGTAAATATTTGGTCGTTCACATTATCAAAATCATTCAAGTACAACTGTCCAGCTTGATGATAAACATCCAATCCATCATTTATTCATATTTTCTATGTTTTTGAGTATTTTCCATGAATTATCCCATAAAGCCTACTGAGGGATGGAAAAATACGAATGAATCTAATCAACCATAATCATTACAAAATGAAGCGCGAAGGCAAGATGACATTTGACATGCGACATTTGCTGGCATCATTAACACCAACTTATCCAGAAAGGGTGACACGGTAACAGGTTCTCAGAAAATTTTATGCTCTGACTTTGGGACTACTAGGTGATCATCTTCATTAGTAGTTCTACGATTTTTAGCTCTGATGTTAGCAAAAAAATATTTTCGAAAGCTTGTAACATATGACCCTTATTCGAGTTCGTACTACAATCCGTACTGCACCGTTAAACTACAATCAACTTCAAACCCTGCAAATAAATAGATTGCTTGCAACGTTGTGAATGATTCCATCTTCCTAGCATTAACAGACGAAGTAGTTTAGTGGAACTAACTGAATTAGTGAACACGGCAGTTAATAGAAGATAGTACCGGCGGAAGAATGTGCTAAAGAATTCTGCAGACTTGAAATAAACAACAAAACATCAGTTTATGAAGCCACTTATTATGATAAACATATTCATGGAATACATAGCTTCGAGTGCCTAAGTTGCATTTATATTCATATCAAACAACTATTTTGGAAAGTCTAATTTTTCTATACTATGGATCAGTCAAAGTATAACATGAACAATCAAAAATTTAGCAACATACCTTCTTCTTCACCATAGCATTTTGGCCAAGCAAAATGACTAAAATCCGTCTCATTAATAGTCGCATCGTCACGGGGTACGCTTGCCTGATTCTCGGCAAATCCACCATGACAAATGAAATCGCTATATTGTTTATGTGATCCAAGACTACTGTTTTCGGAAATCTTAAGTTGTTTCGAAGTGAAGGCAGGTATTTCAACATACAGTTAAACCACAAGCATGGTTACCATCACCAATTTCATTCTCCGCAGGAGGCATCAGGCTTTCATTGAATACAGGTAAAGGAAGGTTTTCCCCTGAAAATTCAGAATTAATTAATAGTGACTGATAATACTGTTTCTCATTAGCTCAGTCCTGGAAACCGGAAAACCACATTGAGCTAGTGCAATGAACTTCAAGGCCGTAAAAAAACTGACTCTTCCCCATAATTCTGAAGCAGAAGGATCTGACAGTTGCATAATCTAAATATTTGTTTAAGACTTCAACACATTTACATCATTAATCACGATACTTGGGAGTCCGGAACGCGATAGAAATGCCTTGACACATTTACATGGCAGTTTCCCACTTTTGTCAACATCACAATCATCAAAAGCATTAAAGTAAAAATTAATTTCAGACTCCGAAAGTCTTAAGGCCTCCATCTAAAGTAACGTCAAGTGGGAATTTCCCGCAACACACGTTTTAACGTCCAATTCAAATTCAGATGATAAAGATAGAAGGCTCTTGTGGCCTGTGTTAATCTTTGCAAAATATATATCTGCAGAGGTCTAACTTCTATTTGAAAGCATTCACCAATGGTGCTGATACTATTGAATTAGGTAAGGAGTTCCAGTCGTTGACCACTCTGTGAGAGAATCTAGATTCAGCACCAATTTTAATCGTTCTCGGTTTCAGCACCTTTTAGCGGTGACCCCGTAAATGTATCCTAGAAGGGGAGAAAAGTTTAGAAAGGTCAGTTCCTAAATCACCCTTAAGTATACGGTGTGCTAAATTAAGTCGTCTCTCTTCCTTCGGTATGATAACGGAAAGAGATTTACATGCTCCATCCTCTTATCATAAGAAAGGTGTGAGATACCAGTAACTAATTTTGTTCCTACTCTCTGTAATTTTTCCAGGATAGGTGCCTCCAATACCTTCAGTTTCATAGTTTCAGTACACCACAACTCCTTTGAAATTTGCATCATTTTCCCTGGACAAGAATCTGAAATATTCTTTGAATGCAGTCAAGTAGAATAACTTCCCATGTCGATAACACCATGAAAATTGAACTTTACTCAGATGCGGGAATTATTGTCGTGAATAAGGCGATGCCCTATAGAGCTGTAACAACAGAAGACAAGGGCCAGGCAACAGATCAGTTTTATTACGAAAACCAACAGGTATTTATATGTATTTTACGTACATTAATAAGGCTCTGCCCGCAGAAAGAAGGCGTTCTTCTGATTGGTTGATTGCAAACAAAACGCAGTCTTCTGTTTTCTTGTTTTCGATATTTCTCGGAAATGCGAGCCACTTGTCTGCGAATCATATTTGTCCACGTCTAGGTCACCTGTGATCGGTTGTTGAATCAGCCCAGATTAATTTCCACCAATCAGCGTAGATCAATGTCTACCAATTGGCTAGCAGCTTGCTCTCACCACAGAGCTACCTCTGTTAGTATGGTGAGTAAGTGAATAGTTACATCAAACGGGAAACTAAATATTCTCTCGCTATGACATCAGAAACCTGCAAAAATAGTAAGTAACTGCTTACAACAACTCAATGAGAGTTTCCTTAAAATCTCAGAGAATTCAGAGAAAGATATCAGGTTCTTACACACTTTGGGCTGTGAAAAATGGGTATGGAGCTAAACTCTGAACACACGTGAAGTAGTCTCAGGCAATCTAATTCCGGAAACTGTTAACAATCGACTCTTGGTTTGGTGAAGACTCACCAGTCAGGATGCATGTTTTGTTGAAAGACTTATAGGTAAAATCCTTAGAGGTATTTGCAGCCAAGCATTATGCAGCTAATCGGATATTCCAAATTATAGTCTGACATCTTATATATTAGCCCCTCCTAATACAACTATCGGTGATTCTGAGGAAGCCAGTAAGGCTATAGGAAGAAAACCTTCGAGACGTGACAAAAATTAATCACAACGTTAGTCCTGGTTCTATGCAACAACTTACTTGCCTGTTATAGATTAGTTTGAAAAGGCAGCATCTTCAGGGCAGTAGAAGCGTGCCACCCGATCTCTTGTTTTGCGGAATGGGATCTAGATTATCTCTCAGTCACAAGGTCATTTGGTAAGTAGGGTACTTCAAGCTCATTTTTATCCATGTTATTGGGACATCTGGGGTGGCTACTTGATGACCGTTCATTTATACACTGGTTTGTGCTTATCACTTGGTTATTTACGAATAATCTCAATATGGATTATGCAATAATGTTGCGTTTTGCATTCTTTTGGTTTTCCTTGATGTTAAAATCAGTATTTTGTATATTTCGAAAGTTTCTACTAACACTAGAGTTCATACATTTCATTTTACTTCTTCCTTATTTTGCTTCCATGCTTCACTGCAGTGTTTCAGTTTTTCAGCTGTTGATGGAATATTACTCTGTAGAAGCTTTAGAGATTGTGCATATGAACATGTTTTGGTGGCATAAGCTGTGGTTTCCAGTCTTTTTTGGCTCCTCTTATTGCTTTTTATAAATCTGTAAAAATCTGTGTCTCCCTCGTTGATATTTTAAGCGTGCAGTCATCTACCAGCCGATTTGTTGAAAAAGTACAGTCAGAGTTGATATCAGTAGAGCTTTCGAAATAAACATTAGAACCAGAGAACTTAGAACCAGCAATGAAGTTGAAGAAGCTTTGAAATTTTCCATTAGGTGCGTCAGTTGCTAGATAAGAAACACCTGATATTTCGTCAGATAGTTTAAATTAAACAAGGATGAATCACATTTGAAGTGCTCAATCTCGACTGATAAAAAACATAGAAATTCACCATAAATAATCTCACTGTAATTCAAACACTGCTAATCACATCACCTGGTTTACTAACTCCAAACGTTTCTAGCCGATACCAAGTACAACATAGAGGTTTGGGAGTAGGGTTTACTACCCTTCACCACAATAACAATCGAACTGTTATATTAACTTCCACGCACACAAATATTAAAAATAAAAAAGATAAACAAAATCATATTAGGCTGGAATCGGAGAGGCACAACGACGTCAGCTGGTGAAAGCTTTAGTGAAGTCAGTCAGCCGGTATGAGAACTAGATGAAAGCGAAAACGAACATTGGGACGTGTATTGTTCGAAGCTAGAAAAGTTGCTCAGCTTGCCTAAGCAGTAAGGGAAACAGGCATAGAAAAGTTATAAATATGTAAAACCGTGTTGAATGGACGATGATTGTCCAAACTGTTAACTGCAGAGTCGATAATCCACTACGATTCTCCAAACAACAAACACTAGTACTCCAACGAAGTGACCACAATAATGTCGCCGAAACTCTCATGCAGTGGGAACCAGTCTCACGCAAGATAATTGCAGCAAAAGTCAACTGAAAGCGAAGAAAAGTTACAATCGTCCAATGCTAAAAACAACTCAAAAATAGATGGGGAGTCTAATGAAAACTTAAAACAGTGGTGGATAAGATCCCAATGGGGAGATATAAATGCTAAATTGGGAAGAGAATTCATCATGGATCGAGAGGATTCCAGGAAAATGAGTGGTAACGGAGATCTCTCCGCAAACTTATGCGCATTCAGTGATTTGGTGATCGGAAGCAGTGTGCACAACCATAAAGATATACACAAGGCAATATGGATTTCACCTGATGGACACACCAGAAACCAGATAGACTTCATCTCAATCTTAAGAAAGTGGTGACGCAACCCACAGGACACAAAATAGAGAAGAGACAGATGTTTCTGTTTTCCAAACTGGCTTAATACGTGAGCATAGAAAACAAGACTGCTGGTCGACACAGAGAATACTGGGGCGATGAAGATAACCAACCAGCAGTAACAGCAACCAATCCCAACTGGCGAAAGATATTTTAAAGTAGTTGCTTCCTTCACTAATCTAGGAAGCCCGATTTCAACCAAAAGGGGGCAGAGCGGATGAAGATGTCAAAACCATCCAGAATCGGAAAGGCAAGATACGCCTTCATCATTCTGAAACCAGTTTGGAAATCTTCTGCACTCCGCAGAATTAGGTACAAGATTCATATTTTCAACACCAATGGCAAGTCGGTACTTCCAGACGGGTCAGAAACTTGCAGTCCATGTCACAAAAAGGATTTCCAGCAGTCTACTGCAGAATCTTATCAACAGCCGCCCTCTCTGGCTTCGTACGGAAGATCAACTAGATAGATAGGAAGGATTGGCAACAAGAAACTGTGAGGACAAGCCAACCAGCAGCCAGTCGCTCAACAAATATGTAGGAGAAAATGGAGATAGGTCGGGTATACGTTGAGTAGGCTGTCGAATGACACCGCTCACTAGGCCGTTGTTCGAGTAGAATCTCATTGAGAAGTGACGAGTGGACCGTCGGTAGGAGAGTGACACGAGGAGATCGTTTGAGAAGGAAACGAGATATTATGTTCAATCGTGGACGCAGATGAAGAGGAGAGCGGAAAACAGAAGTGATTGGAGATGTATCGTTGAAGCCCCATGTTCCACTCAAAACCCGAGAGAATAATAATATACGGTTGACTCATATAGTGAACTTAGTTATCTGAATCCAAGTGAAACTACAGTTACACGCTTAGGAAACTGTGTCCATCAAATACAAGGCCATCCTGTTTCGTTGGTTGACGTAAATCAAGCATTTGTTTGATTAAATTGCAGTTCGTACTGACATGTTGAAATCCGGTATATACAATTTTTAGATCGAAAACTGGTTTATACGACATATATTGGCTGCACTTATCCGGTATGTTGGTTAAAGTTTTGCTTGGTAAATTTTTTGTGAATAATTTTTAATAAATTTGTGTTATGTCTTCTGAATTGATAGAAATTCTCATTTTCTAACAAGTCACAATGGTGTCCGCGTCATGTGATTTAACTGCGACACATTCTTAGCATATTGGTTGCAATGATTAATGTTTCGGGCGGATAGTGTCAAAATATCGCTATAATGAGCAAGATGTGATAGTTGGAGTGTAATGTCATCTACACAAATAGTCTACTTTATGTAGAAGCAGTTTTAATCTTTATTTCTGTTTAAATCCTTCAAACTCAGGAGCTTTAGCAGTAGAGCACTCTTTCAAAGATAAGGGTGGTTCTAACACGTCCTTACAATCCTATCCGTTGAATCACATACCACCACCCTCTCACCTTCAAGCATAAGCTTCAGCTTTAAGCAATATGTGTTTATGCATAGCATTTTAAAAAGCATAGTTTAATAGTTAAAGAAATAATAATATACAGAGATCTTCCGTGCTTGTGTGGATAACAGTGTCACGTAATGCAGGGTAATATTCAGTCGTGATATTGCTTGCAATGAATAGGGGTCCTGAGACAGATCCGTCTTCATCACTGGTGATCAAAAACTTTAAAATGTAGACACTAAGCATACAATGTTAGTGAAAATGGTATGACAGACAGTAGATTGACAAGAGTAAAGCTTACTACATTGCGTTCTCAAAATAAACAGAATTCATATGCACCATAAATTGAA